GGGGGGGGGATGGGAACTAGAACCGGAACCGAGCTCAACACGGCCGGATTGGTACTGAACACCGACAGAGGAACCGACAGAGACCAGTTCGAAGACGTTACCGAGGTGTTGTACAGCGGCTCCGACCAGGACTCTGACTCTGGGGATGACGAGGACACATGCGTGGACAGGAGAGGCGTGAAGCGGGAGAGGAGCGAGCGGGAGGTCGGACATCAGTCCACCTCCTCCGGTCACGCCGGGCTCCGCCCCGGGGCGCCGGGAGCCAAACCCGGCAAGAAAACCCGAGGACGAGTGAAGATCAAGATGGAGTTCATAGACAACAAACTGAGGCGCTACACGACATTCAGCAAGAGGAAGACAGGCATCATGAAGAAGGCGTACGAGTTGTCCACGCTCACCGGTACGCAGGTGTTGCTGCTGGTCGCCAGTGAGACGGGTCACGTGTACACCTTCGCGACCAGGAAGCTGCAGCCGATGATCACCTCAGAGACGGGTAAGGCTCTGATCCAGACCTGCCTCAACTCGCCAGACTCTCCTCCGCGCTCCGACCCGACCTCCGACCAGAGGATGAGCGCCACGGGCTTCGAGGAGACCGACCTCACATACCAGGTGACCGAGGCCGAGGGGGGCCCCGAGGCTGTCAAGGTAAGGTTCCTTTAGACACGGTGGTGATGTAATGTCTCCGTTAGAAGGTTCCGTTAGAACGTACCGTGTTCCTTTAGAAAGTTAATTTAGAACGTACCAGTGTTCCATTAGAACGTACCGGTGTTCCGTTAGAAGGTTCCGTTAGAACGTACCGGTGTTCCTTTAGAAAGTTAATTTAGAATGTACCAGTGTTCCATTAGAACATACCGGTGTTCCATTAGAAGGTTCTTTTAGAACGTACCAGTGTTTCTCTCTGGGCTCCGTTCCTTTAGAAGGTTCAGGTAGAACGTACCAGTGTTCCTTTAGAAGGTTCTTTTAGAACGTACCAGTGTTTCTCTCTGGGCTCCGTTCCTTTAGAAGGTTCAGGTAGAACGTACCAGTGTTCCGTTAGAACGTACCGGTGTTCCTTTAGAACGTACCAGTGTTCCTTTAGAACGTACCAGTATTCCGTTAGAACGTACCGGTGTTCCTTTAGAACGTACCAGTGTTCCGTTAGAGCAGGGGTCTCAAACTCATTTTCACTGGGCCACATCAGCATCACAGTCGCCCTCAAAGGGCCGGTTGTAAATGTAAGACTGTGTAACTGTAACTTCTCCTAACATATTGGTAAATAACTGTCTCTGCATTTGATTATTGTTTATTCAAGTGTTTAAATATTGTACATGCAGTTATGTAAATGTAAAAATATATTTAAGCACATTTCTGTTATTATAACTTAAATCCTTTTAATTTAGGGTTAAGAAACCCACATTACTCTATCAAAGATCAAACTATTAAAGAAAATAACAAAGACAAATATCAAACAAGTTATTACAATAACTTTGTTCAACGCTTAAAATCCTTTCAAGGGTGCGTTTGCACAATCCCACGTGACGTATTTCATGTGTTTTAAAGCCACGTTTAAAGTCTTCAATGTACTCACAATACATTTCATGTCAAGTGTACAGTAACCAGCCAAAGAGCTGCTTCTGTGACTGTGTGTTTAGGTATCTCATCATTTTCACTTTCTATCATAGTTATGACGTTCTATCTCATAACTTCGACTTTCTATCTAATAACTTCGACTTTCTATCTGATAATTTCGACTTTCTATCTGATAATTTCGACTATGGGGATATTTTTATTATCAAGTCTAACTTTAAATTTTTTATTTTTTTTTTTTATTAAAAAAAACATATATATTTTTGCTGGCAGATTCATGGGCCACATAAAATGACGTGGCGGGCCTGATTCGGCCCGCGGGCCTCGAGTTTGAGACCCCTGGTTTAAAAACTTTAAACAAATAAGGTTATTTTTAACAGCAGTATTCCCTTTACACCTATCTACGTCATGTTTTTATGTTTGTTAAATTGTCAGTAGCGATAACTAAATGATGCTTATTATACATATTACAAACAAAACACTTTAAAAACTCGACAATGTGTATTTTAATATTGTCACTGTTGTAAATTGTTTGATTTAATTTTATTGTGAAGAGCATGAAAACGGAAGTGCTTTTACTTTGAGAGAGACAGGAAGTAGAATGGTACGTGTTCGCTAACAATGTTGATGAAACGTAGAAAACCACATGTCAGGTGCAAGAGCGTGTTGTGTTCACTGTAACACTGTAATACTGCAGTTCAGACAGTAAAGTGTTCCATTCAAATAACACGTGTCTCGTTCCTCACGAGAAGCTCCACTTCACAACAGTCATGTTTGATCTGTAACGAGACGGTGTGTGTGTGTGTGTGTGTGTGTGTGTGTGTGTGTGTGTGTGTGTGTGTGTGTGTGTGTGAAGGACGGTGACGGAGGGTAGGAGGGGTTCTGGACCCGGGGGGAAGAAGGAAGTGACGCCACATAAACACAGCTGTTCACTGCTTGCTGCCTGGTTCGTGTGTTAAAAATGTCGCTTAATAATAAATAAATAAAAACTGCATTAATGCACGATAATATAATTGTCGGCGTTAATCAATTAACGCAATAATGGCGCGTTAACTTGCCCAGCACTAATATAT